GTCCTAGGTTGTATGGGTCGGATTTGGCATGCATCATATAGCCTCTTTGCATTTTGGCTTGTTGGCCTTGAGTATGTGAGTGTGTATCATGCCACTTTTGCATTGATTTGGTGTTTTGAAATCATCCACCATGTCATTTCAGTCCTCTTTGCATGCCTATATGTTTACCTTGGATGCATCTTTAATGCCTCATAAGCTTGTGTAGCAATGCTCCTTGTTTTGGCACTTGTGCATACCTTTGAATTTTGAGCCACTTAGATGCCATCTAAGTGATCCTTAGGCCTTGTCTTAATGTGCTAAAACTCTGTTTTTGGTCAATAAGTTCATGCCATGTTTGGTCTTGCTAAGTGTAGCTCAATACTCCATTGGTTTGTTTTGAGCATTTAGGCCATTAGTTGCATGTTTGGCTTGATTTATTGCTTAGTTTGGCATTATGCTTTAACATGATTTTAATGCTCATGTTGCATGCTATATGTCCATGATTATCTTCTTTCAAATGTGTTTGAGAGTTGCCCCCTTTATGCCTAAGTGTTGGCCCTTAATCATATGTATGTGTGCATGTGTGTTTGGTCCTCTGTTTTGGTCATTTTAGCCACTGTTTTGGGCCTATTTAGAGCTGCCCAAATCATGTTTAGGACCACCTTTGCATCCATTAGCATTGCCTCATGTTTGCTTGTATGCTTGCGTAAGTGCCTTGCCATGCCATGTTGCATCCTTAGCTTGCATGCCTAGGTTGCATTGTATCTTGCATGCATGCCTAGTTCCTTGACTTGGTGATAGGAATTGGGCCTTGATTTGTGTGTTTGGCTTGCATTTCATTTGACATAAAAGTTGCATACTTGATCAATTGGGCCATCATGCATGGAAATGCGTGATTGGTGGTCCGAGAATCGAGACACATGCCCCTTTGAGTCATTACCATGATAAGGGACATGAATGGTGCATATATGCCTTGAATTGTGTTGCCATGCTTTGCCTTGCCCTCTGTTGCTGTCATTTGCAGATTCTGCAGGAACACCCTGCCGACCGGCAATGCAAAGTGCCGACCGGCAGTGCAAAGTGCCGACCGGCAATCATTTCTCTGCCGACAGCTTCACTTTGTGCCGGTGGCCACATCCCACTGCCGGTGGCAATTCCATGCAGCCGGTGATGTCTCCCAGCATCCAAGGAAGCAGTCCTGAGGTTTTGGCAGCCTCCAGAGGAGTGAAGGAAGGAAAACAGAGGCAGCTCATGCATGGCGGTGCATTTCCCGAGGCGGTTTTACTGCTTTTTCTTAGCTTATTTAATTTGTTAATTAATTAGGCAATTTGTAATACTAATTAGCTTGCGTAGTTAATTAATTTGTAATATTTATTTGGTCCCTCTGTGTGAGGGCAAATCTGTAATAAGTGTGTGTGAGTGGTGTGCATGTCTTCCAATCCCCACTTCTTTCTTCCCTTTTACTTACCTGCTTTGATGGTTAGTATTAGGGCACGTTTAATTTAGCATACCTTGTGCTATGCATGCGTGCATCCATGCATTTGTATTACATGCATTAGGCTCGGTACATCACGCTAACTGCATTTGTATTTCAATTCCAAATTGAATACGTGCATCGATTGATTGCATTTCACATGCCATGTTTAGGATTAGCCGAGCCTATCTAGTTGCATCCTGTATGTGTTGCATTAGTCAAATTGACATGAACTAGGACATGCATGTTTGCTAACTAGTTTATTGTTTTGGCACGGAGTACGATATAAGTATTTTCCTGCTTTAGCATCTCGCATGCGTGTGAATGCTACCATGACAGCATGTTTACCATGTGGCTAGATGCTTATGTGATAAACTGTTTTAATGCCTGTGGGTGAAGGTTGGGTTGTTTGAGTTGGGAAAACTCGTTGAAATCCGTATTTTAGCCTACTTGTGAGTAGCAAATTCCAAAGCGCTTTTCAGAACCGAACGGATATGCAATGCTTATTTCCAAATTAGGCAATCTAGTCTATACTTGTTTGCTGCGCGCATAACATAGTAATTCTAGGCTAATAAATGGAATAAGAACATGTAGTGTTTTCAAAATCGGATATCATGGTTAGTAGAGGCCGGTCTTCGGACCGGGCGAAAGGGGGTGCTCATAGCTGACCTTCCCCGATCATACCCAAGCTCCCGAGCCGAGACAACTCCGGTGATGATGGACATGTGGCCTTCGGCACCGAGTCAGGGTTTCCTAAATTTCCCCATTAAAAAATATTTAGGTGGCGACTCTATATCTGGCAAAGCAGTCCATGTTTGGCACTTCTTTTCAAAAATCTGTTTCTCAAAACGATTTGCCGGATCTGGACTCTTTGGTTCAAGATTAAGAACCGTGACAATTTGAGAGTCCGAACTGTAGTGACCCCACAAATGAACAGAACGGGACTCACCCTCCCGGGGCGTTCGAGGATGTCTACACTAACATCCTTTCTTTTCCTTTCATAAATCAAACATCCATAATTTTCAAACAAAACTTCCTTTATTTCCAAGAATCACATTTAAAGAAAGATCTTCCTATATTTCAACATAACCCATCAGTACATACACTTCCACAACCCTTCTCCAGTGTTTATTTAAAAAATCTCTTTTTTATATTTCACAACCAAATCCTAGGTTTCACCTAAGATCCCCAAATCACTAATCCTTTCTAGGGAGCAAATAACCAAGCTAAAGATCATACTAAAGGTTGAAGAAATCCCTACCTTAAGCATAGAAGAGGAAGAGCGCAAGGGTGAAACTTTGATGGAGCCAAAAACAAGATCCTCTCCGATTAGAATAAAGCTTTCGATGAGCTCTACTTTTTTCTCCAAGGAGCAATGGTGGAGAAATCAATAGATGATACAGTATTTGAGGTTTTAAGCAAGAACTAGATAGAGAATGAGAGAAATTAGGGTTTGGGAAGTTTTAAAAAGGGAGAGAGGAAATGAAAAAAGTAATGTAAAAATCCTTTTTCCTGAATTGATATACACACATGCCGCTCGAGCGACCAAACCACCCCTTGAGCGTCAAACAAAATAAGTGAGATTGCTCGAGCAACAAAAACACCGCTTGAGTGCACAATGACCCCCTTCTAGAACTTTTGCAGACTGCAAAGACCGCTTAAGAGTAAGAAATACAGCTCAAGCAAACAACACCCTACTCCTAGAAGTTTTGTAGACTTGCAAAAATACTGAGAGATCTTGAAGACCGCTCGAGCGAACAAAAAGAAAATTTGATAGAAACTCCATTAAAAAACTAACTCCCAACCCGTTTCAAACACAACCAACAACTCAACTCAACTACTAACAAGACGATAAAGGGCATAAACAACATTTAAAAGTATGGAATCCCGGATCTAAGAGTATGAAATGGGTCGGGTCTAAACCGGAACCGTTATACAAATAATGAACTTCTATGATATAGACAATGAACTTCAAAATAGATTGAGTAAACTAAATATAAGATATTTGACGAAACTCATAGTGGGAGGTGGAGAAAGACAACTATATGTCTCATTATTTAAAGCTGCTGAGAAAATTATTAGATGTCCAGCAACTGAATTCATAGCATCTAAAGAGAAGATAAGTTTACCAAATGCGTAAAAGTGTCACATTAGTAACATACATACATGGAAAAGTAAATAATTTAATTTAAAACTATACCATTGTTATTGTTATTGTTATTGTTATTGTTATTGTGGGAAAGTAAGAATATCAAATTTTATAAGGCGCTAAAATTTGCTTTTGGACATACAAACATATTTTCATAGGGTTTGAGAAGATGAATGACAAAGATTGCACATCGGAAAAGATTGCAGCAAAACAAGTACAAAATGACGAAAATCAATATGAGATGAAAATAACAATATGACAAATTCCCAAAGTTTAACCGTAAGGATGATCAAAACTAAAGAATGAATGAATTTTATAAAAATATTTTAGCTTTCGATTTCATTTACTTATTCTATTTCAAAATAATAATAGTAACAATATTAAAATATTAATTAGATGTTTTATTTTTTTTCGCTTTTAATAGTAATATTACAATGTTAGTTGGATATTTTATTTCTTCACCTTTAATAATAATAATAATGTTACAATGTTAGTTGTGTGTTTTATTTGTTCACTTTTTAATTATCAATGAAGTATAATTATTTTATGTGATTAGTTTTGATCTATTTTTAAAATTTTAATACTTAAATATTAATATAAAAATATAAAATAATATGTGAAATTTACCACGTACAACTCTACTAGTGTAATTAAAAATCTCAAATGGTGAGATGAAATTTCTCAAACCTAATTTATAAAAAATTATATTTTTAATAAATCTTTGTAATCTATTCTATTAAATAAAAAATTAAAAATTAAAAGAGGATAAATTATGTAAATAATTCTTATAGTTTACACAATGTGTCAATTTGATCCCTATAATTTTAATTTGCTTGATTTTACCCTTTAATTTAATAAATTATGTCATTTTAGTCAATAAATAATGGTTGTTAAGTTAATGTAACGAAATGTCAAACAATGTTTCAATTTGATTTTTATACTTTACACTGTGTGTCAATTTGGTCCTTATAATTTCAATTTTCTCGATTTTGGCAGGGACTAAATTAACACATTGTGAAAAATACATGGACTAAATTGACACATTGTTTAATTTTTTATTAAATTAAATTAATAACTGTTACTTATTGAATTAAAATGACACAATCTATTAAATTACGAGATAAAATCAAATAAATTGAAATTATAAGGGCCAAATTAACATATAAATTAAGAACTATTTACATAATTTTCTCTTTAAAAAAAAACTCAAATTATCAAAACGACAATGCTACGTAGCTCAAATTTTGTGGCTCAAAAGTGGCTCAAATAGCCAAAACGACATCATTTTGAGTACAGAATAATATAAAAATGGCGCAAACAACGTCATTTTGACCATTTAAATTAGTTTTGAGCCACAAAATTTGAACCGCGACACATTTTCCTTATCAAAATAGGTATACTGCTTGGTCTGCACCCGGGTTGGAAAAAGCTGCGATCTGAAAAAACAAAAAAAACAAACACCCATTCCGAACTGCTGTATGCTCCTTACGGAAATTGTGAACTGGTTTACTCGCTGAAACCCGCGAGAGAGAGAGAGAGAGAGAGAGAGAGGTGAGAGGGAAGGAGAGGATGATCGGAGTGGGGAAGATCAAGCAATACACCAACATCCTCGACAAACCCCTCAGCAAGGGCAAACAAGAGGTACCCTCAAACTCTCTCTCTCTCTCTCTCTCTCTCTCTCTCTCTCTCACACACACACACACACTAAATAGGGGTTTTAGCCTTAATTTGATTTTGTGTTTGGGATTTCATTTTTTCATGAGGGAAATGTGAGAATGTACAAGCAGAGGCACACACAATAATTTATGATGGTGGAAAATGATTCAGGTTTTGTAATTCTTACAGGTGAGTTTGAGTGCATTTGCATTCTTGTTTTCGGAGCTTGTTCAGTACAATCAAACCCAAGTTGACAACATCACAGAATTAGAAAGAAGGTAATCATTCAATTTCCACATATCCATAATTCTGTGGTTCTGTATTATTTCACATATAAATGCCAGCAGAACTGTTATAAAAACCCTCATTTTATTTATTTTCTTTAGTTCGCAGAAGAATAAATATATTCTCGAAACATCCATGTGTTGAAATTGTGGGGGGAGGGAAGAAGAAATAATATTCACAAATATATGATTGGCAATTATGATTTGTGTATCAATACCCACTACAACTAAGAGATTGGGTCTTAAAAAAATGAATAAATTTATGCAATTTTTAGGCTGATCTGACAGTTGTGGGGGAGATCAACTGCTTTAACCCCATTGTGAAATTTCCATACTAATGGGATGGCAATATTTTAATTTACTGCGTAATTGACCTGTATTGGATCCTACATTCCAGTGTGGATGTTCTCTAATGTTGTTGGATTGGGGCAAGTTGGAGGATGCAGGCTATGCTGTTGGTGCTAGGGTGTTGGAACTTCTTTGCCATCGGGAAAAGGTATGGAAGTCTTTTGTTAGATACTATGACTTATTCTCAGAACTTCAGCCTAGTGATTGGTACATATTCTTGAACTACAATTACTTGGTACGTATCAAATTTATTTGGGTATTATCTTAACTCATTGATGGAATTTCTTTTTCGTCACCCAAAGTAATAAATACACAAACTTGTAGCCCCTTTATTTGGTTATTATAAGCAGGAAATGTAAACCCTGGTATAGTGTCAGCCTGTTTAATGTTAGAGTTTGGTCTTCAAGCAATTTCAACAACGAGAGACATAGTGCACAAAGCGAGAGATAACATTTTCTATTTGTTAAAAATAGAAAACGTAATGATGCGCGTTGTCTAACCTTTCTTAGCTCATTAATAGCATGTGTAAGCATCTAAATCCTCTGCTAAACTTGGGACAGCGAAGTCTGGATTCTGCAAGTTTATACTCATTGGATATTTTGAGCTTTCAATTGCTTCCAGAGACTCCATTGGAGAAAGAAAGGTCATCAATTTGAATTTGGGCCCATGTGGGGCTGGGGGTGCTCCCAATCTTTTGGTCAATTTCGGCAGGGAATGTTTGTCACATATGTTGTATTAACTGGAATTTTAGGCTTTAGCTTTGAGTTGAAGCTTTCAGATAAAGGACCCATTCTAACAATGGACAACTAAAACTGTATTGTCATTTACCTGTCATTTTATGTATGGGAATATTACACTTCATGTTGATATATCTCATGTGATTGCTGGTGGTGACACTTTTTCAAAGTTGTCATCATACACAATTATCTGTTGAATCTTTGAAGTTTGGCATTGTGATGGAACAATTTGATGTCCACAATTTCTATTATATGCATTGGGCTTTGAACTTCTTGGAGAAATGTTTATTGAGTTTGCGTGTGCCTACCACTTTAGGCTACGAGTTGTTAAGGAACCTTTTCAGGAATTATACTCAAGCATACAGCTTAGTGGACATTTTAACTGCGTGTCTTGCCCATTTAAGTTTTCTCTAAATAAATTATATTGATATTTTTTTGAAATAGGTAGGCATGTGTGTGCTTTTTTGTGTGCGTGGTGGTAAGATTTTAAACTTATGCTGCAGGGTAACAGGAGGGAGACACGATTGTTGGGCATTTTGTCTTTTGTGCATAGCACAGTATGGAAGGTGTTGTTTGGAAAGGTAGTGCTTTCTTCTTCAGCTACTGCTGCTGCTGCATTCCATGGGTCTTTGACTTCCCTTTTATCTTTTCACGAACAGAATATTATACTTAATGAGCTAAATTTTTGTCGTGTCCAGGTTTTTATTGTGAATGACCCAAACAAAGAATGAAACTCGCTCACTGGTTTGATTGGATAATACGGTCTCACTGGAATGGTTCTAGAGAAACTTCTCTGAAAATAAAATTACAAACCTAAGCTTAAATTTCCTACAACTCTGTTGATAGAATAAATTAATGGCATAAAATAGGTGTAAAATAAGATAACTAAATTTAAGCATGAAAATAAGGGCCAATAGGATAAAATTATGGATTGCATGCTTTTCGCCTTGATTTTCAGATGATCCCACTTCTTGAGAAAGTCCAAGGAGACTTGCTCTACTTCAGTCTCCAAAGCTTGTACAATGAAGTGGTTCTAATCTGTCTGACAAGAACTTGCACAGTACAATGAAGGACCATTAGAGCTTCAGGCTATGAGTTTGGTTAAAGTGGAAAGAAGGTTTGGTTGAATTGAAAGTGGGAGGTTGACTCACATTGTGTGTATTTGAAGTTCTGGCTTTCCTGGTAGTGGCTTTGAGAGTGAAGCAGGATTTGTCTTGCCAACCCTAAATGGTTGGCAGTAGGCTTCTTGATATGGGGCTGTATTGGGAAGTTAATATATATATATACTAAGAAGCACGACACTTTTGAAAAGGTGATGTGTCGGTGTCGTGTTTGTGTCGGACACCTTCCCAACACATGTTCGACATTTATCCAAACATGTCCTATTTTTTTAAATAGAATTTAGACTCAGACACTCTTTAGACACTTGGAGAACACACGTGTCCATTGCTTAGACACACGTGTCCACTGATTAGACACGCACGAAACAAATTATAAGTTTGAACAAAATAACTTAGAATTCAGGCTAAGGGAAAATCCTTGAATTAACCGTGGTGCACTTACGGAAAACTCCTTGTCGAGGGCCTGTGCACCCTTGGGGATTAGTCGGGTTTTGATTCGTTCACTCCAGTGCCAATAAAAAATAAAAAATAAAAAAATAAAATAAAACTTTGAATATAATGATAAAAGAAAAAAATGTCAATTTATAGAAATTGCTGTTATATTGCATTTATTTATTGTCTTAGAATGATATATTCATATATATGACATAATAAATATATAAAATTATATATTCTATATATGTCCACAACGTGTTGTGTCTTGCATTTTTTAAAAATTGTCGTGACAGTGTGTTCGTGTTGTGTCATGTATCTGTGTCCATGCGTCTTAGTATATATATTATTAGGTATTCTAGCACTTAGATATGGGGGTTCTTGATATAAATTGAAACTACAGTTAGGAAAGATGAGCATAGAACTTCTTTCTTTGTCTGGTTGGTTCTCAAACAAGCCCTTCTTGTTGTTTATTTTTCCTCTTCTTAATGCTTTTTTTCTTTTTTCTTTCCCATCTTCTTATTTTCATCTCAAGGTATCCTTTTACAGTTACTATTGAGCATCCCTTCTATTTCATTTTGATTGCAAGATTTAAGTCCCTTAAAAGACTTTGATAATGTGCCACCATATGTTTTAAAGATTTGATGTGCATGCCACTGTCATCCTGCAATTTAGAACTCCAGAAATGCTTAAGCACCCTGAGTTAAGTGTGTTTAGTATGCATACAACATTTAATCTCATGACAAGGAAAAGGGTTGGTACCCTGTGAAGCATGTTTTGAATTAGCCTATGTCTGTGGCCTTGCTTTTCATTTGTTTAAGAATTCTGACAAGTCTGGGCAGTACTGTTTAAGTTTTAAGGCTAAACTTTTGGTGAGTTGCTCAAACACACTGATTATTTTTCTTCTTCTTGCAAAATATCGTATAGGTAGCTGATTCACTTGAGAAGGGCACTGAACATGAAGATGAATATATGATTAGTGAGAAGGAACTCCTCGTGAATAGGTGACAGTTTCTTCACATTGGCATTTATATTGTGACTTACAAATAGCTGGAGCTGTTATAGTTTAAATGTTTCTGATGGTCCATGTTTGCATTGTAGATTTATTTCAATACCAAAAGACATGGGGACATTTAATTGTGGTGCATTTGTGGCAGGAATAGTAAGGGTGTGTACTACATTACCTTTGTTTTCTCATAAATGGTTAAAAGTCGTTAAAAGCTCTGATGAATTTTCTTTTTTTCCTTTGAAGGGTGTTTTGGATGGTGCAGGATTTCCGGCTGTAGTTACAGCACATTTTGTGCCTGTAGAGGGTCAGCAACGACCTCGGACAACCATTTTAATAAAATTTTCTGAAGAGGTAATAACTAAGAACTGCATTAAATCAATTCTCCCTCTTTATCTTCTGCCACCTTGCCAATGATCCTTCATGTTTTTTTTTTTTTTTTGGGATTTTATTTTGAACTCTCCTAGTTAGTTAGCATGGACTATGTTTGTGTCATTTTAGATTTGTGCAGAAACTTTTAGTTGCACAATGAGTTTTTGAATTTCACTAGTGTCAGTTGAGTTGGATGTTAAAAGCCTAGAACATTTTTTTTTTTTTTTTTGTTTTGAAGGAAAAATAAACTGGCACACATGCATGTACTCAATGGACAAACTAAACGATATTACTAGGTTGATTTCATTCTTCTTGCTGTAAGCATACATGACACTGAACTTCCCCCTACCAAAAAATAAATATAAAAATAAAAACTTCAATGCCTTTGCTTGCGTCTCTGTAAACCTCATAGAGGTATACACATAAATTTAATGTTAGTGCTAATCATTATTTATATGTGCGTGTCATGAACACATGACTAATGCATTGTGAACAGTAATTCCAGTCAAATGTAAGGTAATTGAATATAAAACTCCAATGCAAGAAGGGCTTAACTGAGATAATAGTTGCCTGCAACTGCATTTGACCAAGGCCGGGAAAGAACTTCAAAATTCAACTCAAATAGGCCAAGTCTCAATTACTTGGAGTTTGTTACATGGATATTTTCTCCAACTGGCTTGTTTCCTTCCTAGCCACATGTCAAATAAGTCCAAGACAATCACGTTATTTCTCTGATGTAGGATGAGTATGGGAACACTCTCCTACAAGTAGAGAGCGTTTAAATTTATAAAATGCAGCAGGAAAAAGCTCTATTTTTAGGGTTGAATTCTCTAGTTTATGTGGCCAAAAGCTTGGAAAGAATATAGAATTTTAGGGTGCAATGTGGTAACAAGAGGGTAAGCTTTGGCATGAAAAGAAATGGTACAGGGGCTGTTCTAATAGGATGTGAACAGTAACTAGGCTGGTTTTGGGTTTCTTTTGTGTGCTTTGGTTGTTAGGTTGAACTTTGAAGGAAGAGTGAATAGGCTTGCAAAATAGGGTTGAAAACTTGAAAGGAATGAAACAGTGGCTGGACAGATTTCGCTGAGGTTGCAAGAGACAAATAAGAAAGGAGAGGAGGGGGAGGGGGGGTGGCGGCGTATCTACGAATTACTCCCAGAATTAGGCATCACACCTAATGTTAGAATTGTATCACACTCTGTCAAAGAAGCTTTTAACAGCTCTGAAGATTCTCTAAAAACTCAACTCTATTAATTAAAAATAATTACCCGACTTTATATAGACTTAAAACCTATGAAGCATGGACACGCCAAAATGGAAGCCGTGGCGGTGTCGGATATGGGGATACGTTGAGGACACAGGGACACGTAATTTATTTTTTTGCAAGAGACACGGCGGGGACACGGACACGGCGGGGACACGCGTGTCCAAATTTGGACACGCCATGGGACACGGTCGGCGAGAAGAGTAAACGAAAGAGAAAAGGAGTACAAACCTAGTCGGCGACTTCAATTTGGACGACTTCCACCGTAAGCCTCGCTCTCTCTCTTGCTCTCTCATGACTTCGATCGCGAGCCAATCAACCTCCATCCAGTCCATTTTGACTAGCGATAGCCCTTCGACTACGACGATCCAATCCACTTCAACTAGCTATAGCTCCCTTCGACTTTGACGATCCAGTGCCCTTCGACTTTGACGAGCTCTCTCTCGCCTTTGCCTTCTCAGAGCTCTCTCTCTCTCTCTCACTTTCTCTCTCTTCCTCGCGATCGCAATCGCAATCGCAATCGATCACTTTCTCTCTCTTTCTCTCTCTCTCTCTCTCTCACTCTCTCATCTTTATCTTCTTGATTCATATATATATGTATAACTATTATTATTATATATTATATAATAGTTATTATATAAAACATAATATACTTAGAAGATAATATATACTTATGCATATTAATTAAAAAATAAATAAACACATGTATGTAAAATAAAATAAAAAAATTAATTGGAACACATTATTTAAAAAATATAATAAATAAATAAAATAAATAATGTGGATTAAAATAAAAATATTATAAAAAAATTAAAAAAATTGTCGTGTCGCCTACCGTGCCCGTGTCTCCATTTTTTAAAAATTGCCGTGTCCCGTGTCTGTGTGTCCGTGTTCATGTCCGTGCTTCATAGCTTAAAACGGATCCTACATCTAAGAAGACTTGGACTTTCTCTTTTGGGAATTAAAGTTTTGACTTCTAAAATCTAATGTTTCTTAGTTACGAGTCTTATTTGGTAACCAAATAAGACTCATAACTAAGAAACAACCACTTCTTAGGTGCCATATCCATGTTGGACACTTCTTGACACATGTTGATTAACATGTCCAAATCTGTCCTATTGTTTTTTTTCATTTATTTTTAGATCTGAGAACACACTTCAAACGCTTGGGGGACATAAATGTCCATTGCTGAGACACATGAAACATGTTACAAGTTTGAATAAATTAATTTGGGATCTAATGATAATAGAGGAAAAATGTAGATTTATACCTTTTAATACCTCATCCTTTAAACTTTAAAAATTGTGTCATGTTGTATTTTTCTATTATATTTGAATGAAAATATATATATGACGTATAATAAATATATAAAACTATATATTTAGAGCATGTCCTCCACACGTGTCCTTGTTGTGTCGTGTGCCTATGCTTCTTAGCTCATTAAAAAAGGACTTAATGACATTACTTGATCCATATAACCCATGGGCGATCCTTCTAGTCCACATCTAGAAATTTTGAAATTGCTATTTTTTTTTATAAAAAGTAAAATTACCAAAATATCCCTGACTTTTACAACTTTTTAAATCATAAGTAAAATTGACTTCAACATTCCAAATCCAAAATAAACTTGAAACTTTTATTGGCACAAAGTCGACTATGTAAGTCCAAATAGGGCCCGATCTCTCCCTTGACTTTTTTTTTTTTTTTCCATGTGTGCGCATACGTGCGTGTTGGTAAGTAAAACATTTAATTAAGTTAGAGGCATCAAAGGAACTCATCTAGCAGCCCATGAAATATCAATAATGGCCCAGTAAATATTAGGGAAAGCCAGCTCCAGCTTCTCTTTCCCACACTGACAATTGCTCCAAAACTCAACTTGTACTCTCTATTACTAAATATATAATAGTAAGAGAAAGCTTCCTAGCCCTTACAAATTCCTTTCCACCACCCTTTTGCAATACATCTCCGTTTCATGGCATACCTTCACAACCATTTCCCAAGACATACTTGATTGTCGAGAGCAAGCCTATGGATACCAAATCCTAGAAAGCATGGACACCTTGCCGGAGGCAATGTACAGGTGTCCGACCCGTGTCAGACACGGACATGCGTCGGACACGTGGTGGACACATGCCAAGCACTCTACCAAACATGTCCTCTTTTTTTTTTTAATTTTTTTTAGCCGGACACATTTTTGACACACCAAGACACGTTTGGACACTCTGTAACAAGATAAAGCTTGAAAAATAAAGAGGTGGATCGAAGCCCTAACCTCTTGGAGACGAGAGAGAGATAAGAGCGCCCTAACCTGTTCTTCGTTTTGTTCTTTTCTTTGATTCGTTTCTTCTGTTCTTCATTCTTGCTCTATCTTCTTCGTTTTTCTTCCTCTGTAGTCTTCGTTTTTCTTCCTTATCAGTCATCTTCGCCTTCAAAGAGAGAGAGAGAGAGAGCCCTAAGATGTTCTTCGTTCTTCGTTTTGTTCTTCTTTTCTTCGATTCGTTTCTTTTGTTCTTCATTCTTGCTCTATCTTCTTCGTTTTTCTTCCTCTGTCGCCTTTGTTGTTCTTCCTCGTATGTCTCTTCGTTAATATTGATTTGTTTTAATATATATATATATATATAATAGGTTTGTAGGGACCCACTAAAGATCACCATCCCACGAAGCCACCATCATCCCATTGACCTCACTAATGCATTGACCTTCACACATCTTCCATTATAATATTATATATACATAGTATTTTAATATTAAAAGACTCCACACCAACAAAAATCTTTTGGTACTGTGTTTATTAATTTTATTATTATTGTAATTTTATAAGAACCAATATTTGATTTTAAATGTCATTGGGTTTAATATTTTGTATTTTTAATTACCTGCTAATGGTTTTTTTATTTTAGACATATAATAAATAAATATATTTATATATGTGGAGTGTGTCCCAGCATGTTGTGTCCCCCCATGTTTTGAAAATTTACATGTCTGGGTGTTCGTATTGTGTTTCGTGTCCGTGTCCGTCTCCGTGCATCATAGCCCAAATCCCTTTACCTGGCTCCAATCCCTTTGTAGCATGCATCTTTCTCACTACCTGAAACCATGTCATTAGGTTTCCTCTTGTCCTTATGATTGTCGAAATTGTCTTTATTTTTGCCACCTTTATGAATGATGGTTTCTTTGGGCTACAATTTGTACTTACGAAATGAGATTTACAATTAAGCTATAGGAGTGGCATGCACGATGTGCATGAATTTTATCTCACCCTGTCGTTTGTTTTTTGTCTTTTTATTGTTGTAAGAAAATATCCCCTTCTTTGCACTATTAATGGCCTCTTACTCTTCCTTAGTGATGACAAGTATGGGAGGAAGAAAAAGGGTAAATATGAAAATTCACATGTAGTAGACATAGAGTTTTATACAATCTTGTTTAGGATAATTTGTCTTATTTTTAATGTATATTTTAGGTTAGAATGTTTCTCAATATATTAAGTAGTGTTTTATTAGGTTTTAGTAGTTAGTATTTTGATATTTTTTCTTATTTTAGGTTAGAATGTTTCTCAATATATTAAGTGGTGTTTTTGTTAGGCAGCCCCCTTAGTTGTCTATTGTTCTCTATTTGCTATGCATGACATCTACCTCCAGTTCATCTAGTTCTATGGCCTCTAGTTCTACGTTTTCAGTTCCTCACATCACCAATTTAGTGACTATGAAATTAATGGATT